TGGTCTCTATTCTGAGCTGGGTTCAATTCTACCTCCGCATGGAGATAGTGATGTTGTGCAGCCGAGACCTGCAGAGAAGTGATGGATGCTGGCTCTTAATTTGATGACTCATTAGAAAACCCTTCTGTTTCAGTGCTGCCTGGATTGATAAGTGTCGCCCCGATTTATTAATAACAGAATCCACCTATGCCACAACTATCAGAGACTCCAAACGCTGCAGAGAAAGAGACTTCCTGAAGAAAGTTCATGAGACTGTGGAACGAGGGGGAAAGGTAGAGCACTCTGATGAGTGACGTGTTTTCTGCTCCCTGTGAAGCTCTTGTTCAGCACTGGTAATGCTGCAGTGCTATCTGTGTGCTCTTCAGGATACATAGACTAAATCATGTCTCTGTTGCAGGTTCTTATCCCAGTTTTTGCCCTTGGTCGTGCCCAGGAACTTTGTATTTTATTGGAAACGTTCTGGTGAGTGCAGTCTCTTTGGTGCATGTTCTTCCTCCTTGTCCTCTTCACGTTGATGTCCTCAAGGTTTCTACGATTCTTTTCTGTTTGGTACAAATACACTCCTTAGTTTTTCTCTGCACGTTGGCCCATAGTGCCATGTGAGAAGTGCTTCTTTCCACGTGTCACTTATTTATCAGTGTTTCTGACTCTAAGCAGTAAACTGAACATGTTCCTCTCCAGGATCACTCTCTCCTCCTTCCCCAAGCACTTGGGACCATTAAATAGTTTGATGGCATCTTTGCCACATTGTGAAACTGTTTTTACGTGGAAGGGAAGAAAGAAGGATAAAAATAAAAGCGTTCAACTTTCTTATAAGCATCGTATGGAAATGTTTCTGGTAGTACCAAAGCAAATGCATAACGATCCAGGATTGCCAAAATATTGACTGGTGGTTTCCTGAGAGCGTGTTGTGCCCAGAAATCTTTGGAGACTACAGAGGTTCGTGGACTTTGAGCACAGAGAGCTAAGATACTAATTTGGTCCTCACCTGTGTCTGGATCTCTTCTTTCTCCAGGGAAAGAATGAACTTGAAAGCTCCAATTTATTTTTCCACTGGACTGACAGAGAAAGCTAATCACTATTACAAGCTATTCATCACATGGACTAATCAGAAAATCCGGAAGACATTTGTGCAGAGAAACATGTTTGAGTTCAAACACATCAAAGCATTTGATAGAGCCTTTGCAGATAATCCAGGTCCAATGGTAGGTTGGCATTAACAGTTGAGGCCCCGTTACAGCCTTGTTGTAGTAAGTGTGCTGTAATGTGTATTTAGTAGATCCTCTCCACAGTTTTAGGAAATTTATATTAATGATATTTTAAATAAACACGTATTTTTTCTGCTGTTGTTTTTGACACGTCTTTGGATTCTAGGTTGTTTTTGCAACACCTGGTATGCTTCATGCAGGGCAGTCCCTGCAGATCTTCAGGAAATGGGCAGGGAATGAAAAGAATATGGTAAGAAATTCTGTTTCCTAAGTGGTGTTTTGTATTCATGTGATACTGTTGCAGATAGCATTGTAAGAACAAAGGTTTTCCTAAGGTGTGGTGCTAAACGATCCTGGTTTCTTTCTCAGGTCATCATGCCAGGCTATTGTGTGCAGGGAACGGTGGGCCATAAGATTCTGAGTGGACAACGCAAGCTGGAAATGGAGGGAAGGCAAATAGTAAGTTTTATTTTCAATGAGGATTGTTTTGGGGAAGCTTTTTGGGACTTTAGGTGGCAGTTAGACACCATGTGTTATAAATATATATCTATAGGGGAATGTGCTGCATGTAACATGGGAAATACCTGAGTAACATTTCAATCAGAATGGAACTGGGCTGTTTTGTCATTGCTTTGGCAATAGTGTGCCTTCTCAGCCATTCTGTTGCCCATGGTTTTTATCAGAGGAGTATTAATGACTTCGTTTGGTAAGCAGACCCTGTCAGTCAGGTAGCAGTGATACAGTTTCACACTGAAGGGGCTATTGAAGATCCTGAGCCTACTGGAGTGTTGATGTGTTTTGGCAGATGTGTGGAAGGAACTGTGCTCTGAAAATGCAATTTGACTCTGAGTTACTGGGAGCTTTTCTGAATATCGATGTGTTTCACTTCTGCTGTCCAGCAGCTTTCTTCCTCACCTGAATTTCCCAGTCCAAGGGCATGGAACACTTGGATTGGGAAATTAGGTTGGAGAGATGTTCCCAATCTAAGTGATCTTCCTTAAAGTAAACGTGGAGAGGTCTCAGTCAGTTTGCACATGGTATACAAGGCAAAGTGGCTCCTGATTCACTGCACCTCTGCTTCCCACCCCTCCTCTTGCAGCTGGAAGTAAAGATGCAGGTGGAGTACATGTCCTTCAGTGCCCACGCTGATGCCAAGGGAATCATGCAGCTGATTCGCCAGGCTGAGCCACGCAATGTCCTGCTGGTCCACGGGGAAGCAAAGAAAATGGAGTTTTTGAAGCAGAAAATAGAGCAGGAATTTCGTACGTAGACTTTTGGTACTGAAAACAGTAGAAAGAAGAAGGAAAGCTTTATGTTTACATAATTAATTTACTGGTAATCAGCTTAGAGTTAGGAATAGTGTGATTTACAGGACCTGTCAGCCTCAAGAAATCAGTATCTGTAGTGTATACTGACATATGAAGACCATTCAATTTTAATGGCCATTAGGCTTGAAGTGGTGGAACGTTGTGATTGTGGTGTTACACTGTGATGTTCTGTTTGCATTGCTATGGTTCAGCATTTACTGCATTTGTATTTCTTCAGACTTAAAAACGGCAGAGGCAGGCATGTATCAGAAATGTTAATTTAGCAACGTTAATTATGGGGAATGAAGTCCAGAGGGGGTGGGAAAAAATAATTCCTGACTTAAAAGATGAGCAGAGAAAGCAGAGAATGCACGCTGGGTGGCTGTTTACTTTTCAGTACTTTGTTATGGGCATCAGAGGGCTGCACCATCCTCACATTGTTTCTTTACACTGCAGATGTCAGCTGTTACATGCCTGCAAATGGAGAGACCACGACTATATTTACCAACCCCAGCATTCCAGTGGACATCTCCCTGGGACTCCTGAAGAGAGAAACAGCAATAGGTGACACATTTTTTTCAACCAAGAATCAGATATTTGGGGTCCTGCCCCTCGAATGCAATTTTGGCACGTGAATTAGGTGGAAAGAGCATTGCAGGGCTATTTGTAGCAGTCCTTCCTGTGTCAGAACAGGTTGTACAGTGTTTGAGTGGGTGAGAGGGGCTTCTGTGAAGTGAGGTAGCTGCTGTGCTGGGGATGGGTGTTCAACAGTGCTTAAAAACAACAACAAAACAGGCCCAAAGTTACCTTGCTTGCTTCTCATTGCCCATTTGCTATGAAAATGAAGCTTGTGTGCTTTTGCTGTTGAGGACTGGAATTACTTTAATAAATTCAATGTAATCTTAAAGCTTCTCATATTAGGAAATGATATGGGAAGAGAGAGGCAGCTGAGGTGTAGTTCTGGACATTGTTTCTTACATGTCTGGAGCCCCAGCAATGACTTAAACGCCGTGAGCTTTGTTTTAAGGCATAGATGAACAAAGATGTCATAGTCTGCAGGCCTCAGCTGAGACTTGGAAATCCATGGAGTCCAGAGCAGTTGTCTTAGATGTGTTAAACATGGTATCATTAACCCTGTTGTCTTTCTCTTCCCTTGGCTTAGGTCTCTTACCAGATGCCAAGAAGCCAAAGCTTATGCATGGCACGCTGATTATGAAGGATAACGTAAGTAACGCTTGGGGGCTGCAGAGGGGGAAATAAAAGCGTGCACAAGGAAACAGTTTGGAATGAGTTTGCACTCTTCCTCTGCAGAGCTTCCGCCTGGTTTCTCCTGAGCAGGCCCTGAAGGAGCTGGGCCTTGCAGAGCACCAGCTGCGCTTCACCTGCCGCGTTCACATTCAGGACCCGCGGAAAGAACACGAGACCGTGCTCCGTGTGTACAACCACCTCAAAGGGTAACTTGGCTGGTTTTTCCCCTTGGGCTGAATGATTGCATCATTCTTCATAGAGGCAGCCCTTCCAGACTGATTGAAGAAAATTTCCTGCATCCTCAAAGAGAGTAACTGCTCCAGACCTCAATCTATTTAGCTACTGTAACCAGAGGAGCAGTTACACTTCAGTAGCAGGGGCTCTAATCAGCAGATGCACTCACGGTCTTGGCCAAGCTAATGCAGTCCTCTCCAAAATAAATTTAATACCTTCTGTGTCTCACCAGGGTCCTGAAGGATTACTCAGTGCAGCATCTCCCTGATGGTTCTATAACAGTTGAATCCATTCTTATCCAAGCCACAGCACACTCAGAGGATCAAGGAACCAAAGTTCTGCTCGTATCCTGGACTTACCAGGTAGGAATACTTGAAAACATACATTGCAACCAATTCTAATTGGTCTTAACATCTTTCAGTCCAAAACAGGCCTGCAGGGTAGCAATAGAGGGTGGGCATTTTATGAAGTAGGAATAAATCTTCACTCTGGAACCAGAAAGTTCATTAAGACAAAGTTGTGCTCAGATTAGATAGTTGTTTTCCTCAAGAATATATTCCTTACAGCTGCATTTTGAGTGTTTTTTTTTTCAATAGAGAGGAAGTGCCTTCTTGAGAGCAGAACAAAAAAAAAAAGTCAATTCAACAGATCTTCATTCTTTGCTTTCAAGAAAAATAATCATTTATTCTAAAAGAGAGAACTTGGAGATCCAGACACCTTATTTGACAACCACAAGTTTTAGGTTGGTATTTTGAAAGAACACCTAGGAATACATTTGTGCTAACTGCATTCATTCCCATATTTGAACACTGCTGCTGTTGCATCCAAGAGTTATTTTAGCCTAATTCTAGATAGCAGAAATGGGAGTCAAGTGGACAATCGCTCTCAACCTGATTTTCTTTTCTATAGGATGAAGAATTAGGCAGCTATCTCACATCCCTGCTGAAGAAGGGACTGCCCCAGAGCACATCTTGAGCCACAGAGCAGCAGGCACAGTTGGTGCTTCAGAAAAGTACAGATCTTATTTTGTTTACGTTATTAAAACAGAACTAGAGAAACATTTGAAAAAGGAACTTCAGTGTCTGTTCATTAGCCACAGTGAGAGTGTTCAGCAGTACCAGTCTTCCTCTATTTGGAAACAGGGCTAGGTTGTCACTGCAGCCTGTTCTTAAGAAGTCCTGAAGAACAAACTTCACATCACTTACACAGTAAGGTAAGAGATTCAGCATTCTTTTACTCCCACAGCTCATTTTCTTTAAAACCTCAGCAATGCCATTCCAGCTTTTTGTTCACAAATGTAACTAGAAGCAACAGCCACGCAGTGAGCCCTGCACTGACCTGAAGGCCTGGGTTCTGTGCATGGGGCAGAACAGCTTTCTGGGCTTTAGCCATTAAGGGTGTCGTTAAAGGTTATTATCAGGGAGTCTTCTTGCTGAAGGGCCAAAACAAGAAGCTTTCAAAGCTTCAAAATTAAAATGCAAAGCAGAAATATAACGTAGGTAGAAGTATGAAGCTTTAAACATGTTGTTTACCCAGCAGCTTCACTTTCATTGAGGGAAGCATGAATAACAGCTGACAAGCCTTAAAGAAACCTGCACCTTCTTGATGTAGGTTCTAGTAAAATATATTTTTTAAAAAAAAATCCTCTTTTGTCCAGACCATAACATTTGTGGTTAGTTGCAGAGAAGTCCCTGCAGTGTTAGAAGTCCTTCCCCTGTTTGTTAAGGCATAGGAAGATGGCAAGATGTTCAGCTGTTACCAAAATCTCATCCTGTAAAGTTGCTGGCTTTTAAGCAAGTTGAGTCAGTCGTGGCTTTCTGGTGTTTGGTAACTCATGAATGATAAATTCTTTCCTCTCGTGATGGTGTAGTCCCACTCTGTGGGTAGAAAACTCAGCAGTTCTCTGAAGCTGTGTGATTCTGTTAATACAGGAGAAAGGGTGAAATGGGTCAGACACATCATCATCACTTCATCAGTCATTAAAAAAGAAAAGCTTTGACGTTTGAGCAGTACAGCACAGTGTAAGTTGTGCAAGTTGTGTAGGAACACTGACTTTCCCCAGTGACTTTATGGATTGGAGCTTGTTTACCACTGCACAGGGTTAACTGATAAATGCTGTCATCTTTTATCTTCTAATATTGTTTTTAAGAGATGGCCAGCTTGACTCTACAGGCATGTGATTTTACAGTGCCTGTACCCAAGTACTCCTCAGGAAGCCAATTAACTGATTCATAAGAAGGGAAGAAGCAGCCCTTATTTGGCTGTGGAATGTAGGCAGTTTGAGAACACAGCTGACTACGGCGTACACCCAGGGAGAAAACACAGGATCCCTCCAAAAAAGGGAAAAGCCAAGCAGGACTGCAGGGATCCACTCAGCTTTCAGGGTTAGCATCAATAAAGAGGCTGGTTTGTTTTAAGTAACCCTTTCCTGTGCTGCATTCCAGAACCAAGCCTTATGTCCCAAGCAGGCAAGAACACCAATGTACATGAATATGGTGTCTCAGCATATTTGATCTGGACTACAGGCTCCCTCAAGTTCTGTTGTAGTTGGCTAACAAAAATATATAACCATCAGACACTTTCCTCCAGTGCTGCCTTGATGTAATAACCACTGTATGCAAGAATGATAGGTATCACAGGTTTGATTTCAAGCAACAGTTAGAAAGATGGCTAGTGTACTTACTTGGAGTAGGTCAGTTGATTCCATCTCTCTGTTTTTTATTTTCACATCTCTGGTGTAGTTTATAAATATAGGAGTGCTCTCCGAGTTTCTGATCACAGATGGTGTACACCATTTTAGACCTGAATCTGAACCTGAAGTTGAAGTGCCACGTCCTGCTAGAAGAGGTGAAGTAGTACAGGAAAGGGTTGAGGCAACAGTTGAAACTCACCAGGGCTAAGGTGACCCGTCGCATTTTGTAGATCAGGTTAGTAAATGACTTGTTCTGGATGACCTGGATTCTCATTAAGAAGTGGAGGAAATGGGTGAGGTGGTATGGGAGAAAGCAGAAAGTACAAATGAGCAAGATGATGTAGATGGTCGTCAGAGCTTTCCTCTTGCGAATGCTGTGTTTGATCTGGGAGATCCTCCTCGCAATGAGAGGGTAGCAGATCAGAATGATGGCAAACGGGATGACAAAACCAAAAACCAAGGCCAGGACGTTGTAAAGGGCCATGCGAGAAATCCAGCTGCTCCTTGCAAAGTTCTCAAAACACATGGTGGTGTTCCTGGGCCCTCTGTTGTGGAGGGGGCCACCGAGAATGAGCGCAACCATGATGCTCAGGGCAACCACCCAAAGGAGTGTGGCCACCCCCACGTAGTGAGTGACTCTGATCTGGATGTACGTGAAGGGGTGCAGCACTGCAACGTAACGATCGACGCAGATGCAGGTGAAAAAGACAATGCTTAGATAGATGTTGATGTAGTACAGAGTCCCAGTGATCCTACAAGCCATGTCACCAAAGATCCAGTTGTTCCGATTCAGGTGGTAATGAATTTTAAAAGGCAACATGCAAACAAACAAGGTGTCTGCCAGAGCTAGGTTTATCATGCAGATGTAGGAAGGAGATGTATGCCTTGCTTTGTTAGACAGGAGGTACAGAGCTGAGACGTTTTCTATCAGTCCCAGCACGAACACAATGCTGTAAATAACAGTAAACAAGGAATACTGGAAGTCTGCTTCCAACCTGACAGCTGTCCTGTTGGAGACACCTTCAGTCCAGGAAACGTTTGCCATGATTTCTGTTGAGGTGTAGGGATATCCAGCAGGATAAAAGTTATAAGCCATTCCTTACCTCATGAGGTTCTTGAGTTTGAAGTGTGATTTCTTCTCACGTGGTTAAGAACTAAAGCTGTGCTTATCAGTGCTGTTAGATCTGATGGCACGTTTCAGGCAGCTGTGCTTGGTCAAGTTAGGTGGAAAGTGGTGTTGCTGTAAGAGGATAAATCATTTAAAACATGAGCATTTGGAGGTTATACAACAGCCCAATTATTTGCTGGCGTTTCAACACAAGATAGCAGTACTGAGTTAACAGAAGGGAGCTCCTAAAAGAGGAGTTTGTGTTTGAAATAGGGAGAAAGAGGCACTACACAAGTAGGATGCCCCTCATCTAGGTCATTCACTCACATAAACCTGCTGGAGAAGAGAACACTGCTTATATGAATCTGAGTAACTGATCAAAAGAGAGACACCTTAACTGAAGAAGTCCTTAAACAGAGTGGAAAAAATGAATCCTCATTTTAATGAAGTGTCTCAAGCTGAGCCATTGAAAGCATGAAAACACAAAGGTTGTTCGGTACTTTCCAAAGGAAATGCTGAAATTGCACTTCCTCCCAATAGTTATTTACCTACTGCAGTCAAAAGCACTGAAGATTACAACTGGAAGTTGTAGGGAACAAAACAGTTTCACTTTAGGTAGGCAAAGGTACGTATCTGCTCACACAGGTCTTTCACCAAACAGCACAGTATTTGCATGTACACAAACAGAGGAAAATTAATTAGAACAAAGCCAGGCACGTGCTAAGCCAGAACGTCAGGCACACTGAACTTGAAACAGCCTTTATCTCAGTTTTGCCACTGAACATCTCTGTTCTACAGTTCAACGTGTTGCAGCTGGGGAAAGATAAGGCAAAAAAAGGTAAAATCACTGAAGGAGCAAAGCAGAGAGGGGAGAGATTAGCTTCTGCTTCTCACAAGCACAATCAAGACATCTCTAGATATTACCAGGCAACAGCTTCAAAACAACAGCATTTTTTTCCAAATAGCACTTGTTTATGTTATGGAGAAAAGCATCCCAAGGTTCTCCAAGAGCTGCACCAAAACGTTTGTGTGCTTCAAGCTCCATCAGACTGCTGACAGACTGCCTAAAACCATTGCCCCTCAGCTCCCTGCAGGATGGCTACGTGGCCTTACAGAGGCACAGAAGTTGTCTGCACCATGACACTACACTAATATTGTTAGCTGTAGGCTCACTTGATCCCTTAAATCCCTCCTCATCTGGAGTAGGAGCTCACATTACGTCTTGTGTGCTGAGAGTGGAAACTGGGCAACTCTTGAGGCCTCAGCCAGGCAGTAACAGGTAAAGCTTGTGTAAAAACACTGACTGTACCTTGGTGCAGCCTGTCATGTATTCAAACCCACTGGAGCTGAACTACAGCAAAAGGAAGCAATGGGAAAAGAGAGGGGGAAAAAACCTTAAAAAAATCAGACATCCAATATTTCACATGTTGGTCTTTCAGCCATGTCAAAACAGTTAGATATGCTGTGTGTGACACCACCATGTATTGATCTGCTTGAAAATGTTTTCATTCTCAATGAGAGAGGTAATAGAAGTGATGCAGGCTAGGAGTAAATTATTTTCCAGGCATGTAGCCAAATTCATCTCTTACAATAATGTATGATTTCCTTACCTACCACTTTAAAGCAAGGAGTCTGACCAAATTCCACATCCAGCTTTGCTTCCCCAGAGGTAATTTTCTCCAAGGAGGAGTGGGGAAGGGCAGGGGCTATCCCTATTTACCTTCAAATATTTCCTATGAACAACTGGAAAACACCATTGTACTTCCGTGCAAATTACTTGATTTACAAAACTACAGCAAATCATACATCCAAGTTTACACCAGACTTTGAATTCATTAAATTAATAGGATTATCTTCATGTAAAACCAAGCTTTTTTCTTTGAACCCTAAGTCAAGCATGACGTTTTTCTGGTTTTGGCTTCAAAGCGTCGCTGTCAAGCACTCAGAACGACAGAACAGGCCTGTGTTGGATGCCCAAACTGCTCCAATTGAAAGGAACTGGTAATGCAACAACAGAAGGAAAAGAACACCAAGCCCCCTCCTGCTGAAAGCTAACACTCAAGTATTAGTGACAAAAACTACAGTTCTCTCTGCTAAGCGCAGAGCCAGCCACCTCCAGCCCACTGTGGATAGCTGAATTTGGGTTGCTCAGCTAGCAAGCCCATAAGCACAATTGGTTTTTTGACTGTAACCAGAACTTGAGAAACATTTGCAGAAAGCAGGTATTTTTGTACTGCGTTTATTAAAACCCTGCTGCAATACCTGAGCCTGCAGCAGGAGCTAGCTTGTCTGAGGAGCATTTCTCTTTGGTTCAGTTTTCTGCCCAATAAAGCTGCATAGTAAATCAATCAGAAAGGTGACTTACCAGACCTCAGGCCATCGCCTCACACAAAAGCTGCCTTCTCAGGGTCTGCACTCACAGCTACAAGGTCACTGCACGCTGTGAACACCAGAACAAGCTGTGCTGATAGACCCACAGCTGAGCTCACCCACACTGCGCTGCAGAGAAACCACAGGAAGTAAAGAAGAAAGAAAAGCTGTCACTGCCATGCAGGCACAGCGTTTGCCCCACCAGCAAGACTTTCCCTTACAGGACCAAGGTGAGGATGCAGCCTGTGACCAGCAGCAGTGCGTGCTGTGGTTCCCTGCATGTATTTGCAGGCACCCTGCTCCCACACACAGCCACCTTCAGCCTTCTTGTCAGCCCCAGGAGAGCACAGCCCACCTCTGTGCCAGTGTTTTAGCCCAACGCTCTCACTTCCCTTCCCTTCAAGGGAAGGAAAAGCAAGACTTAACTGCTGTTCCCTGTCTGAAACATGGGCATGCGTTCAGGTTTGGATCACAAATGGACAAGTACCATTGCTTGCCCTGAAAGCACAGCATCCATACCTCTAGGTACTTAGGCAGCAAGGCCCTACCAGGAGAAACGCAAACACGTACCATACTGGCACCACAGTGGCTTCAGTTCTCTTCTGTTAAAACTCCTCCAAAGTTCTGTCTTTGGAAACTGGTCCCCAAGCAAGTAAGAGTAAGCAGAAGTTTCCTCCCTCTCCTTCTCATGCTGTCAAATGTTGGTCTCTGGAAGCAGAGTGAGGGGATATGCATCACTTCACATTGGGGAGCGCTCAGAGATGGGCTGGCCTGTCCTCTGCAGCACCAACCACTAAGCTCAGTCTCCCTGCTGAGGGCCTTAAGAGAGGTCAGGGAGGTGCTGCGTCCCCCCTGCACCTTCACCACCCACCCAGTGCGTGGAAGCTCCTTAATCCTTCAGGGTTATTAATATTCCTCCTTCATTACCTGCATGCTTTGAATTGCCACGTAACAAAGGACATCCCCTCACCAGATGAGCTACGATGAACTCTCAGCTCTCTAATTCTTCTCCTCTCACAGACAAAGGAGAGACTAATAATGATGGTACCAGGCATTTGAGCTGCACGTGGCTTCCACTACAGGAAAGTGTTTAAATTGGGTGCTGTTTCTTCAGAAGTCACAACTTTCATCCACTTTCCTGTAACTCAGCATTCCAAGAACCGTTTTACAACCCAGTGATTCTGGTGTCATTCATGATTAAAAAAAAAAACAATACAACAACCCACACACATTACCCAACGCATGTGCTGTTGCTTGGGCAAGCAGGCAAGATTGAAACAAAACAAAAACATGAGAAAACACATCAGGGAAAAAGGAAAAAAAAGCAGTAATCTGAAAGCAGCATCATTCTTCATTTCCCCTTAGCAAACAAACGATGGGAAGATGCCTACAGTCAGTGATGTTTATTGAGACAAGACCACATATTGCGTAAAGAGCTCTGCAAACCTCCATCCCATATCCACAACAACAGTCCTTTCAGACATGGCTGACAGAGCTGCTATTCTCCCGGGGCCGCTGTTGTTTGCAAATCTGAGGGGGGGAAAAAAAAGAAAACATTGATTTAGGGAAAAAGATGGCACTGAAAGCTCTTAAAGTCTGTGGTCTTCATTTCCTGCCTGGGCTCCCTCCCCACTGGCACAGGCAGCTCCACAGCCAGCATGAACAGGAAATGCACCACCAGGGAGAAAGGCCCAAAGCCACAAGCAGCAGCTGCCTCTTCATGGCCAGGCCAAGTGTTGTGCTCAAGCTCCCTGCACCGCTCACTGTCGCTTCCCTTTCCCTTCGGTCTTGAAGCCCCACTGTGTGCACAGCTGCAGCAGGAGACAGCATTCCCAAAGCCCACTGCAGGAGGTCTGTGCTCTGCCTGGGATGAGGCAGCCTGGAAGAGGCCTGCAGTGTGTTGGGAAGTCCTTTCTATGCACTGGAGTAACTGAGGACTAAAAGGGAGAAGAAGCATTTGTGGCTGCGGGAAGGATTACTGCTGAAACAAAGCAGGCAGCAAGTGCACAACTGAAAGCTGAGAGCACCTCTCCCTCAGCACTGCAGCAAGAGAAATGTGGTGTCAGCCCCATGGTGGGCAGCACATTCATCTCAGCAACAAGAGAAGGGACCGTGGTTTTAATATTAGCACTTCCTGTAGCAATAAGGGAGCCAGGAAATAACTTGATGCCTCTGCCTTCTGGAGATTCTCAGTGATCTCATCAAAAGCAAGTGAACATGTTTATTGCTATAATTTTCATTTTTAGTAAGACAGTAACACAGAGTTTGATTTACAGTCAAAGATATCTTTGCTCTCAACATCATTTTACCAAATTCGGCCTGCATTAAATTCCTTGCAATATTTAATACCTTCCATCCCTAACAAGAATACCAAACTTTGCCGATATCTTCTGCAAGTTTGCCTTTTTATTCTTATTTTCTAAACTAAAAATCTTCACTGTTTATGATTTAGACGCTGTTAAATTAAGAAAGCTAATATGTGAGCATGATTTCTCTTTCACTACCTTGCAAGTAAGAGGAAGAAATCTACCAGGAAAAAATTAACACTCATTTTCCATAGCAACTGCTGTAAATGGCACAAAAAGGAGGACTGTGGGGGCTTCTGTTCCTTTCGGTATGAGGCCTGACTCCCACAGACATAAAGTCACTGCCTGGCATTCCCTTACCTGCTTCATTATATTCCACTGATTTTAGGAAGAGTCCAGACGATGGAGCCATGGCAAATGGTGGAAGAGCCCTTGCATCCTTCATCTCCAGCAGCTCTTTTATATGATGAGGTGCCAACTTTCCCTGGCCAACTGCAACTAGAGCCCCAACCATTCTTCGGACCTGCAAGGACAGCATACAGCTTAGGAACTGCCCCCTGTAACATGTAAGAGGTTAAGAGTCCTTCACTTCTTTGTATCAGCAGTGTTTTGTGTGGTGGAACAGCCCCTTCCCTCCCTACAGCTGTGGGCAGTATGAAAATGGAGACCTGTAACACAATGTAACACAACAATCTCCAGTTCAGCTGACTTGGAGCAGCCTTGTTCTCATCACAGAAGAGAGCTGAGCAGACATGGTTTCTATTTCTGAAGCAGCAGCCACACGCTGCCTGTGGCAGGAAGCTCACTTGCTGCTGGGCGAGCTGGGCTCACACAACCTCAATGCACAAGCAACAATTTCCAGGTGGGGGCTATGTGGGGGCCAAGAGCAAAAGGAGAAAAAGCAACAACGCACCCAAGTGAGAAAGCCCACCAGCCAACTAACTCGTCAAATTGGCATTTTGAACACCTCCGCACCTCACAGCTCCCCTCCCCTCCACAGTAAGCAATTCCAAATCTACTGGGTTGGCACAGATTTCACTCCCAGTGCTCACCTACTATCACACCCTCGCACTGCAGCATCCTCCTGGCTCAAAGCCACCCTTCCCTGGGCTGCCCTCAAGCCATGGTGCTCTCACCACATCCTAGTGGCTTTTCCATGCCCACCAAACTGTCCCCCAGTCTCAAGTGCACAAGCAGATCCTTGTGGAGGAGTCATGGCAAGAAGAGATGGGGAACTTAAACCAAGTACAGTGCTTAAAATAACATTTACAAAAGATTAAACCAAAGCCTACTAAACAACCTCATCAAGTTTATCCCCATTAAAGAGCAAAGATATATTTATCCAGAGGTAGGCACTATTTTCACCTACTTGCTTGAAGCCTAAGCTGCACTACATGGTGCCCAGAGCCTGCTTTGTAGCCATTCTGGTGTCCTGGAGAAGCAGCACAGATCAGTGTATGTTATGTTATGTGTCCCTCGCTAGGGGTCATTGCATGCTGTGACTTCAGCTTTGATGTCTCCACACTTGGAGTTAGATGGGAGGCATCTGAAACAGCCTCGTGCTCGGTGCCTCCCTGCTGCTCCACGTCCTTCAGGGTGAAGATACACATACAGTTTCTGAGGCTGTTTAACCCTATTCTCTAATAAAAAACATCCAGATGGTGAAACTTAACATAGCAGCCATACGAGATGAAATCAGAGGTCCATCTAGCACAGTAAGCTCTCTGTTACGGAGTGCAGAAGCAGATGCTCAGGTCTGAGAGTGCAGGTTCACCATGTACAGTCTGTTCCTGCTCCCCTGGCTTGCTCTGAGGCTGCTGCTGAAAGCCCCACTCACAGAGGGCACCGGGCTCAGCATCACTGTGCAGAGAGAGCTACCAATGTCACTAAGTCACATCCAGACTGAAGCGTTAAATGGGTTACCAGCATTTTCTCCTTGTCACAAGAGCATCTTGTGAAGCAGATCCCTGCTATGTATCAAGCCTTCTCAAGCATGCTATCGTCCTTCCCCTGCTCATATCCAGACACCCACTGTCAGAGAGCTTACGGAGCATTGCTTGGCACAGGATAAAAACAAATCTAGTTTGTCAAAACAGAACAAAAAATAACTGTTCCCACAAAACACCCCCTCTCTCTTCCAAAACAAGCCTTCCCATGCCTATTCTGTCTCCAGAGTGTGACTGTGCCCGGAGTAGGCAGACAGAACAGCCAATTGTTTCCTAATGAGGTGATCCATTAAGTTGTGGAGAGAGCCGTCTCCCTTGAGGACAGCAGCAAAAACCTCACTGGAGTTATTTCAAAGAAAACCCAGCAGCACGACAGCGGGAACGATCCTGCAGTCGTGCCTGCATAGCTGAATCAGGTCTTCCCATCTCTCCTTCATGCAACATTGAGAATTACCTCACGCTCCAAAGCCAGAAAGTAAAATTCCAGGCAGCCTTCACTGGGCCCAGTGCCATTCAGCAGAGCAAGAACATATGTCTCTTGGTTTTCACCAGTCGGACTGCAAGGACAAAGACTGAGGAAAACAAAACTTTCCATCCTCCCACATGATTCTGTGACTTTGGTCATTCATTTCAGACACAAACCAAAGATAGTCTGGTTCTAGTGGATCAAACAACGAACACGGAGCCTCGCTTGACAAGGTTCTTGTGTGTATCATGAAGCTGTAGGACCAGCTCTGCAACTGAGATGGCACTACACGTGGATGCAACACTGCCAAATGAATCGTGTTACAGTGAGAGTGATATCTGGGTTCTTGGAGACAAAGGGTGCACAGAGCAGAGCAGTACCTGTCGGTAAAGAAACGATCTGCTCTTGAACTTCAGCTCCCAAAACTGCAGTCCCCTACAGAGACAAACAAAAAAAAGTGTTTCAAAATCACATCTCAAACATGAGAACTTCTTACAAGAACAGCAAAAGCCACAGGTGAACACAAGCAGAATGAACAAGTAGCTGAGATCCACGTCTGCACTAAAGATCACTAATTAGAACTATAAATAGCCAACAATTCTAGCCCAAATGCTGTGTTTACCTTTGTTGGGAACAACTGCACAGGTCAGTTATGGCTACATTGAAATAATTCATACATCTATAAGGGAGAATTAACATGAATGAGAAATAAAGAAACCTTTGTCAGAAAGGGAACAATGCAAGTGTATGAGAAAAGCAGATTTGTTGTCTTAAGAGTGAACAGAGCCACATGAAGCACACAGTGCACAAAGCCAGAGGCAATCACTTATTTACTGCTGGGATGGCACTGGAGTGAGCGGCTGGAAGCAGAGCTGTCTGAGGACAAGTGTGCCCCAAGGCAGGCAAGAGGACACCATGGCCCACACCATAATGCCCCAAAGCTTCAATTCCCAAAGAGTCCTGCATAAAACAGGGGTGCATCTTTGCTCAGAGGCAGGGTGGCAGGGCAGCTGGCTGTGAAAACACCAATGCTGTGGCAGAGACTGTGTAGGTGAGCTTTGGGTAAATGCTGTTGTACATGGGAAGAAAAGCTCTGACAGAAGCATGGCAACAGATCTGGGCTCTCAGTTGCTTTGCCATTCATTCTGGGCACAAATAACATTTTCTTCACCCAAATTTCAAGCATTTTGAAGGGAAATTTTACAGCAGTATCTGGTGGCTTAGTGCCACCGCTAAGCAGTGCTGGAGCATCAGCCTTCCCCTAAACCTCCCTGTGATAAAAAATAATCAGTTTAAACTAACAGGATTTGGAACAAAAAAAGAGTTATCAGTACGAACACCTCCAGGACAGCTAAAGGAGATTAAGGAGCAACAATTCAGCTACAAATCTTCTGAAGCCTTCAGATGAAGATGTTGGTAAGCACAAGTTCTGCTTCACCGCTTCAAGGCCCAGCCTGCCAGATGGATCTTCGGGCTGTTGCAAAACACCACCCTGCAGTTAGAGCATATATGAGGGCTGCTGGTTCAACAGCAGGGGCAGATGCTTGCTGAGATGTAAGCTACTTTGAGTCACTGACTGCCTCAAAGCCAACAAGCTGCTCTTTTAGAAGTGCAAACTGCAGAGAGAACACAGAGAATTTGCCTTTTTCCTGGGCACCACTGAAGTGCTCCAAACACCACCTCCGTTTAGGCAGAGGACATGCATGCTGTGCTAAAGACTTGAAATACCTGCAGCCTGTCTGACCTGATCGGAGGAGGTAGCTCCAAGGAGGAGGTACAAACTGCAAGATTCCTTACGAGACAAAATAGCCCTTAATGGCAGCATTATTTTTTAACAGCAGAGGTTTCAGTGCTTAAGAATGGTCTTTCTCTAGACATTTTTAAGAAGAAAGTGAAATAAAAACACTTATAGCGGCTGAGAATGCTACCACAAAGCCAGGCCAGCTCCCAGAGCTCAAACACCAGTCTCTGTTCTGGTCAGGAGATGGTTTTACTTAGCAAACAGAAAGCAAGGTGACAGCTGCACCGACATCCATGCGCTCTGCTGCTCTCCAGGAGGAGAAGATGGAACGAACCAAAAGGAAAGAGATGAAGGCATGGTGAGGGAAGGATGGCAGAGGGCCTTCTGATGAGTACTGGGTAAATCTGACCCGTGTCAGGGGCAAAACGGGCATTCAAAGTCCTGGTAAGTTGGCAAATTCCAACCTGAAAACCGATTTCTCCTTTTCTTTGCAACAAACTCTCCTCTGCCAGATGTTTTCCCCTGAACAACAGTCGGCAGAATTCCAGGAAAGATCAAATCCTGATGCTGACAGCAGAGCAGCAAACGTTTAAAAACCTGCTGCCAAAGTGGAGCTCTGCAATGTCAGCACTGCATCTCACCCAAGAGAAGCGCTTACGTCGTGTCAGGCTGAACTGAATGATTCGCCCTCGACAGCATTTCTGCCATCCCATAAATCATTGTGGACGTGACTGAACATTTCTAGCTCTGATAAAAGCTTTTCACTTGTCAAATCACAAACAACACTTATAGAAGCTCTAATTCCACCATGTGCACAGCCTAACAAAGACCCTCAGCCTTTTCCCATAGCACTTGTTCAGACCAAAACCTTTGCGCATTGAGAACAGCATCCTTCAAGGAGAGGAGAGGAGAGCACTGAGGCACAGGAAGTGCTCAGCACTGCTATGAGCATCTCTCCACCCTGCAGATCTTCTAGCAGGAGGGCTGCAAAAGCAAAGTCTGCAGGATGTGTAATTCAGTGCCATGATGGGGAGCAAGCATGGAACAACAGGGGTTGTGGGGAGTGCTTTGGGGGAATGTTACATTAAGGGTTCATAGTGAGGAAAGACTGAATCTTGTGCGTTGCTCGGATGAAGGCAACAAGGAGAAGAGAATTCAAAACCATTAGGATTGAGACTGAGCAGTGGGTATCTTGTGGCAGGGGGAAATAGTGCAGACAAAACAAGGCTCTTGTGACCAACTGCAGCAACATCCATCATTCCACATCAGGGATGCTTGCAAAAAGGCTGCAATGACTGCCTCTGATCTGCATTTCGCAACAGGTCGGTCTCCTTTTCCACCTCTCTCCCCACACTGCCCTTTCCTTCACCACTGCCCACAGCAGGCTCAGGAACTCACATCCAGACAGGGAAAATAGACTTTCGAAGAAGCCAGCTGCCTTGCAAAGAATTCAGAATGTAAACCACCCCACAGCCTGCTCTGGGCAGCAGTTCTGGGGTAGCTGGAAGTTGAGAGTAAGCAGAGCAGGAAGAAGCACAACAATATTTGGGGACAGATGGATAGATACCACTGCATGAAAACACATCTTTTTCCCTTCTCCAAATCCATTGATACAGCTATCATTATTCAGAAAGTTTTAAAGTGATAAGCAATGTTCCCTACAAGGACAAGACTATCAAACAGTACTAAAAGTCTATAGATGCCCACACACAAAACCTCTTTTCCTTTCTCTTGCCATGAGCCCAGTCGTGTGGGGCTCTGAAGACTTGAATCAGCGGTGGGAAAAGCACAGCTGCAACGTATTTGGGGGAATCAGGACAGGCTGGGTTTGCTGGAAGCACCTGAGCATAAAAGGGGGGGCCTAGAAGAAAGCTCTTGTAAGGGGTAAAAAAAGATGAAGCAGGGACAATGTGATTCACAGCCTGCATGGGGCATCAGGGCAGGGTGAACAGGAAGAGAGACTGTGAAATTATCACCCCGGGGAGCAGCTGCAAGCTGTTTTCTCACAGGATTCACAGATAAGTTACTGCTTTTAGTTCTCCCTGTTGCGAATGTTGGTAAGTGCAAAGGCAGCTCCTGCCCCCAGATTCCTCTTTGTGTCAAGCAATGACACTCCTTCCATCACTTACATACGGTTTGCTCTCCCTACAGCAAGGAGGATGTGGCACACAGACATGTGCAGCGCTGGGCACGTGCACGAATACCCACCACATTACAGCCAGGAGTCTGCTCAGCTCTTCAGCAATGGTAAGAGATGGTTTGCATGCGTTATCTCTAGCCAGGGTCCTCCTGCCTTGGGTGTCTCAAGCAGACGCACTAAGCTACAAAAGATAGCTTGAGATACTTCAGGAAAATATCTTGTAGAGAACAAAATATTTTTCTTAGAGTGGGAAACTTTCTTTTTCTTGTCAATCTCACAAGGAATTCTGCTTACCAGCACAAACTCTGTTTGTCTTTTCCACTTAGCAGCAGCAGGCAGCACCTTGCAATGAATAATACATATTCAGCTAGAAAACAGGTGACAGAGCAATCACTCCCTGGGAATGGGGCTGAGGCTCTAAGCACATCCTCGGCATTAAAAAGCATTTTGGATGGATAGGACACTAACTCCACTTCCAGTGTTGCTGAGCAACACTGGAGTTTGACGGAAGGAATCATTTCAAAAGACAAGCAGTCAATTCAGAAGATTGGTTTAAGTTCAGAAAGGAAGGGAAGAAGGCGAATGAAAAGCTGCATTATTTCACTAAGAAACCTTGGTTTATCATTCTGCAGATTCCTCCCTCTGAAGCAGAAAATAAAGCTCCTTAGACTTATTACAAGCTTATAAATAGATTATTTTTTTTCTTGCTATCACAGCCCTTTCATTGCAGGACAGTTAATCCTGCCACTGCAGGGAAGAAACACACATGCATTTCAGGCACTTGCTGTCTTACTTGCAGTATGAGCAAAAGCAAACACCAAGCTCCATGACTGCAGCTGTCCCCATAGGGTGTTTTGCAGATTAGAACTAGGACACTGCAACAAACCAAAATCAGCCAAAGAAAAACACCCCCTCAGCCTGTCACAAACACACTCACTCCAGGACTTTATTTTTCTTTAGATCAGAAAGCTCATGGTTTCAGTTAAGGCTTTACTAACTAAGGAAGGACTGTAGGGGAATTAGGTGCTGTTTAAATGCATCAAAACAAGGCTTCTCAAAGCCACCCCCTTCAACCTAGGTGTTCTGGAAATCAATTGATATTGGCACATTAAAAAAATGACTTGTTACAAAACACAACTTCGGGCTGCATGCGTCACCAAGCGAAAAAATGCTATCAGCAACAAGCTCAATGCCTTTCATCCCATTTTTCGGTTTGCTCTCTCCTGTGAGCTGTTTTTGGCCTTGTGTGGGATGGGTTTATGCAGCAAGTTATGCAAGGAATGGTAAATTCCTTTTTTTTTTTTTTTTTTTTTTATAATAAAATTAAGGATAGAAAAAAGCTGATCTGTATCGAATCTCGGGGATGGGACAATCAACCACAGTAGGTCTGGATTTTGAAGATAACATGACCTGCATGCACTCACAGGTGATCTTGATGAGACTGTTCATGCTTATTTTCAGGCTTGCTCAGTGGCAAAGCACTGAACTTACTTGTGTGGTGGTCAAGCTCTCCAACCAGCAGTGGCCAACAACAGACAGCAGGAATGCAGCCAGGTAACAGCACCCAGCTTCCCTTCCAGCCCTCCTTTTCCAATGCAGGCAGTGTTTCAGCTGCAAATAAGCAGGAAGGAAGCGACCCATCTGGCACTCACTGCCCATGTCCTTGTACTTGCACAGCACAGAGCTTCAGTGAATATACCATACCCAACTAGGTGGCTCTTTGTGATGCAGCTGTGTATTCACAGCACCAATACTGTGCAAAGAAACCATGGATCAGACAAAATGCCTTTTTCCTCCTGACCCTGAATAGGGAGACTGAGAGGAACTGAAAGACCAGGGCTACTCAGAGCATACAGATCTCTCTCTGTTTTTGCAGTTCCCTTCTGGCTTTTATCCTACACTATTGCTGGCAAAACACACCATCCTAGGACAAGGGGGGAAAAGAAAGAGCAGGCTATTTGTAAACTGCAACGAGGCCCAGCTGAAGCTTGAAGCATGGCCCTTACTGTTGCAGACTGCTCTGTAAATATTCAAACCTAATGGAGGACTGCTGGAGGAAACTACAAAGAAAAAGGTTTTCTATTATTTGGAAACAAGGAAAACGTGGTTTGGGGACAGACAATAGCAATGTCTGCTTTCAAGCTGGAACACAACAGCCATGTTTCTCTGAAAGAATCCAGCATGAGAGCAGGGGCCATGTTCAGATGGTAAATACATGTGATCTTTCTGAGGGGAAAAAAAAACCCCTTCAGTTTCTGCTAAAGAGAGACAATACATCCAGCCACTTCATTTCAATACTTGCAAGATCTGGCCCTGAAAGAACCTGACACACAGCAATCTTTTGTTTATGTCTTGACTGAGGAATATTGAATTTTCTTTCATCAGCATCCCCCAGGAAGGCAGCAGTAGTTACTGGTGTGAACTGAGAGGATATGTGTAGCTACAGCAGTGCCCTGGGTGTTGGGTGAGTTATTTTTCCTCCTATTTGCAGCCTCTAGGCAAAGCTAAGACAGAGGCAGGACAGAAAATAAAAATCCCATGCCCTGCCAGTGCTGATCTTCAGCATCACACAGGAACTGCTCTGCCAGGTTTCTGCCATCCTGCCTTACTGCACTGACAACTGGGTCAGCTTCTCGCCCTCAGCCTTGCTCATCTTTCTCCCTGAGCTCAATGGGAGAAGGAAAGAAATATCCTTCCCAGACCGTCACTGGGCAGAACCCTGCTGAGACTGTGAAGGCAATGCAGTGAGAGGAGGTCAGTGCTCAGCACAGCACTGGAAAGCAGCTTTTCTGACAAAGCAAGCAGTAGCTGATCAGGGCAGCTCCTCAGCTGAGTATCCAGGCTCTCACCTGTATTCATAGTGGTGGGACAGGAAACCAGAAGAGGGTTGGATGTCTGCCTGTAGGATGGTTTTGACTGGAGACCGAAATGGGGTTTCAGAGTTCAGTGAACGGAAAGTGCTGAAGTCGTGTGTTCCCAGCAGGAACTGTGCTGCATCCTGCATGGCAGGCACGTCGAGGTAGCTGAAAAGGAAAGGAGCCTTAGGAGGGACTGAATGAGTTATGTGGGTCAAATTCCAATTAACTGATGAGAGGCCTAATCTGAGCATGCAGATAGAACGTGGCAGCACTGTGGACGATGGAGTTTTTCCTGCAAGAGCACAAACCAAGATGGCAAATGACCTGAGGTCTGAAAGTGCTCAAAGCCCCAGGCCAGGTGAGGGGTTGGCAGGCACACATTTTTTCACAAAGCTTTATCCTGCTGTTCTGCTTAATGTGGTTGAATTCACAATAGCTTTATGGCTAGAGTGGAGGGAAAGAGGAGCAAAATCCTTTGCAGTACCTTGTAAACTCAAAAAGGTGTTGCCAGGTGAGAAAATATTCAAACATCATGATGGCTTTCCAAGCTTGTTTTTTCTATAATGTGAAAAACTCCAGTGTTCTTGAATGCATATTTATCTCAGCACAACCTTGTCTAAAGGGCAATAACTAATTTTCTTCTGGGGTCTCTTTTTTATTTTCTTGCCCGCTGTTAATCATGTCTTAAGTGTTTTTAAGAATACATGTGAATGTAGGTACACCAATTAGTTACTGTAGGGTTGCTCAGTCATTGGCTCTCACTTATTATTCAAACATAAAGGCATTCAGTCAGGGAATGAGAGCAAAGATTTCATGCAGCCGTCACCAGAAACAGGATGAGAAAAAGAAAAGAATTGCCAGCCTTCATTGTTGACTGCCTTCTTTGTATGGTCACACCTGAAGCTGTGACATCTGCCATGTGATGCATTTCTGCCTGCATCGTTGAGAGCGTTGTCCCTTCAGCCAGCTGTCAGAATGGGTTTGCTGTATGAATTGGCAAGGTTATCTGAGGAAATTGCTTCCATGCAGGGCACACAGAGTTGTTCATGGATGTGGCCCAGAGCCATTGAGTACTTCAGCATGTTAACAACATCTACAGCTGACTGTACAATTAAGAAGAACTGTCTCAGGCCTCACTGAATGTAACTCAGTGCAGCTCCATCATTCAGTATCTCCAATATGATGTGGGAATCTGGTTTTACATGTGGAAATTACCCCTCTGCACCTCTTCCAAGTACCAAGTCCTTGCAGAGCTGCCCAGAGGCGTATGAAAGACACTCACCCTCCAGTGGGAGCCCAGCACAGGTCCCTCTCAAACACTGGTATTTCAGAATGGTGGGTGCAGCCCATCAGCAGCCGATAAATGTAGGTTCTTGACAGTGCAGAGAAACGTGCATGGAAACTGTTGGTCACTCGATAGGCACTTAAGATGCTGTAATGACAGAAGAGAGTGAGAGAGACAGGAATGCCATGAACTAGTTCAAAAACTTTCGCTGGTCTCCATACAGGTGGAATGAAAACATGCAATGGCTTCTTTACTCACGCTGTGTTCTAAACCCACACACTTCCCAGCAATCTCACTGTTGGAACTCTCAGCATCCTGACCAACCTTCCAGCCAATGATCAACTTTGGCTGCCATCAGTTTTCTGTTCAGCTGTATGCTGTGTTCTGGTTCCTGCTCTCAGGGATGGCACCATTAAGGAGCCTGCATTATTCCCACAGGCAGCTGGGTGCAAAGGCACACGTGTGCGTACATGTTTGAAATATTCATGTGCATGTACAAATGTGAATCACTTGAGGGAAAGTTCTGCAGAAACAAACAAGCAAGACAATGTTTGAGGTTTCCTGAGATCCTCAGGATGAAATGTATCTCACATATGGAGAATATTATGCTGTGCTAGCTCATGACCCACTTTCCAGTGGCTGCTGCAAATGTCAAATGTGTTTTTCACAAAAACTCTTACCAGTTCTTTTGTGGTATCCCTATTATGCTAGGAAAATGGAGAAAATAGCCATTATTCCTCCTTTTACCAAAGCAGCTGTAGAAATTCCCTTTGGATTTTTTCATCCGCTACCTTCTTTAGCAGGAAAACCAAAAGGAGAGGGCTGGTCTCCTTTGAGCCCTGTAAGAAAAATTTTCCTTTCCAGTGCCTCTTACCCAGACATGCTGATGGCCAAGGTAACATTTTTTCAGAGATCTAACTGAATACACAGCCATAAAGGGACTTTCTCCATGGAATTTGACAGGCACACAAATACTCTGTCCCTGCTCTAGGCTCGCCAACAAGAAACTAGTTATTGCAGCATCATTCCCGAGTTGATGAGCTCTTCCAGACTATTCTCTTGGCTCACAACTGCCCTCATGCAGCTGTGAAACACTGACTCAAAGGACAGAGTGTGTTTGTGCTTGCCTTCAAAGGCATTCTGGCCGTACCCAGAGCCCTCAAGTCCACAGGACAGCATCAACTGAGGTGGAAGAGATGCGATGTGGATGATAAAACCAGATGTCCCAACCACAACAACCATCAAGAAAGGCTTTCAATGCACTATTTTCATGGTGGTTTTTTTTTTTTTTTTCTTCAGGTTTTGTGTCACCTATAATAAGCAACAGAAAACAGCCACCTTCCTGTTTTGCTGGTCAGACTCGTCACAAAGGCAGGTCTGTGGCTCCGCTTTTTCTGGTAATTGATCCAGTTCTAATAGATAAACTGGTAAGAAGAGGGAAGAAACCCAGCAGATTTAATGAGCCTGTAAGAGAGGTCTCATAGCCTGGGCCACCTTATTTTTCCTGATACTCATGAAGCACTTTCTTGAACAAGCATCCACCTGCAAATACTAGAATACAATCAGACACTCTAAGGCTTCCTATCTGTTTCACCTTAGCCTTGCTGCATCCACAAGAAGGGCTGCCATCACTCTCTGTGTGTAGACAGACAGGACTTTGCACTGAAAGCCATACAAGAATAAGCCCAAGCCCTCTTGCAGAGCCATGGCCACAGATAAGAGCATGAAGGACCTCCCCATGACAGATACCTGCATACCCAACGCAGCACTCTGTGCTCACTCCTAAAGGCAGCCACGCAGTTCATTGCAGCAGATGGAAATAGTTGAAAGTAGGTCACTTCCCTACCACCTCCCCCCACAACCTCCAAGATTTTGCCACGGCAATGAAAATAAAGGAGCATCCCACCTAGACTGCTTCTGTCTGGATACAGCAGGACAGGTATCCCCCCATTTCACACATGCAGATGATGGCTGTAGGGAATGGCTATGCCCACTCATTTTCCATCGGCACTGGGTAGTTATCTCAAGAAGCAGCTTGCAAGGCTGCTGAAGGCTCCTACTGCCTTCTATAAAAGCAACTGGGAAGAAATGCCTGGTGTCCCTAAGTGAGGGATGGCTTAGTAGACAGGAGGTTGCAAAGGTTGGCAGAGGAGAAACAAACTTCTCTCAGGCAAGGGAGAAAGCAGAGCTTTCCTGTATTTCAGCACATCCCCAGAGCACTACAGCTGATTTGAAGGTGGCAGTTTTTGCTGGATTTTATTTTCCCATAGCCCAGAGTTGTGGTTTGTCATCATCCTGCTGGGAGCATCCAGCAAAGAGGCGCTGTCTCAGAGGTATTCTCTCGCTGCAGACACTGCCTCTCATCAGAAAGTAGTTTTCCTTCTGTCATGTGCCCCTCTGGTTTTGGAGCTTTGTAAATGGAGGAGAAAGGATGCAAAGCAGCCAAAAAATTTGATACCGTTTGGGACCGAATAATAGAGAAAGCTATTTATTTACTTTTAAAAGGTTGGTGCTGCAGGGAGTTTTGTCAGCCTAAGTGCCTCTGGCTCACACCTCTGCACTGCAAAGGCTCAGACCACAGAAGAAGAAATCAAAGCTGAGCCACAGGCCTCTGCAAAGATTTGCAATAACAAGCCAGAAGGCTGCTTCACTGCTATGAACTCCCATCAGAAATGCAAACTACATCCTCCAGGCCTGCAATGGAGTTTGAACCCAGGACCTCCAGCGTCTTCTAAACACAGTAATATAATTAAGTATTCCATTTGTTTTCCTCTGTCTACACATCTCCACAAGCATTTCATCTCCCTTGAGCTTCTCCTGTTAACACTTAAGTGATTTTTATTAAATAACCATTCCTATTATAAACTCCCATAGAACTATTCTTTCAGAAAAGCCCATTCATACTCAGATGATTCTTCACTGCAGACAGCCTTTCTTGCCTCTTCTGGTAGATGCAATTGCTATCTTGGGCTCTTTCTAGCTGGGAGTCTCTTATTCCACCAGTTCTTCAAACATACTACATTTCAAGCCTTGTTAACGTCTCCTTTTTTACAAAGCTGCTGGTAAATAAAGACTGAGAGCATTCTTCAGCTTTTTGGCAGTGTAACCTTCACCAAATTGGTGGAAACCAATTAGCAGGAGGTGGGATGAATCCCAGATCTGCCTTGTTGCCACCCAGACATGGAGTACTTACCAAACTGAAACCAGAAGTAGAAGGCAAGAATCTACTTTACCACTCTATCCCTACTTACATGATAGCAACGTCCTCCTCAAGTTACCCATCTGCAGAATACACTCTGATCTTTGCAGACGAGATCCTTTCAAAAATGCTTTGCAAATGTAAAAGACAGATCATTTCCTAGAAGAGACCCATCATGCAGCAAAGCTACAAAGAAGATCATTATTGCTAATGATACAGCCAGCCAGTTTGGAATCTGGTCTCCTTTTCAAGCTCTATCAACAACGAGTTCTCACAAAGATATCTCTCTCCATCACCCCCTGCTTGCAACCACATGAAAGTGCTGGGTTTTCTATCCAGCATTAGGAGAGAATTCTTGGCAAAGCAATATTTAGAGAGGGAGGGGTTGGCTGCTGATCCATTTAGACTCATGCCTGTCACCAAGCTCCTTAATGGAAAGCAGCTGAGCCCTTTTGCAAAGGGTTCAGATTAAGGGAAGAGGGAGAAGTAGAGCTGACTGCATCCTGGTAAACTCAGAGTGTCTAATGATGAGAACTGTGGTCAGGCATGCAGCTAAGGCCAGTGAGCACCCTCAACAGCACAGGGCACAGCTTCAGCCAACTCACAGTCTCTCTTCACTTTACACAGCATCTGGGACCTGCACAAAGGACCTCCTGGGAGAAAAAGAAACGTCACCATTCAGATCTCCCTCCTCAGCCACCAAACTGTTTGGGTTCCTGCAGGTCTAGAGCTGGGTTCACTGTTCCCCAGGCCACGGAGAATTGGAGTCCTCCCTTGCAAAATGAAGGGCAGATTCAGGCATGATGTCAGCCCTCAAATCCCAGGCCTTGCTGCGTCGGCATTTGGGTCAGGCCCTGTTTCACAAAGAGGAGATTAGAAAATAAAGCAGACTGGGTGAAGTGGGAAGGGGGAGGGTGCTGCATAGCCAGGCTGCTATTCTTACAAAAATCCCTTCATTGGGTGGGGAGGGATTTGCTTTTTTGTCCTGGGTTCTTCCTCTGGCATGGGGAATTTGCCTCCCATAATCTTCCTTTATGCTCATGCCACCAGACTGCAGTAACATGAAAGAGAGCAATTGGGTCCTCTGAATAATCACCAATTGGCCTCTTGCATCCAACTTCTGTTGCTCATCCCAACACCTCCTGCAAATCAGCCATCTTCTTGTACAACACACTGAGGTGCCCTGGCACACTGCTTGTTAGGGTGCTGCCCAGAGAGCCACGTCTGAGTGCAACAGATGCTGCACAGACACGGACAGTCTGCGCCTTCAACTGATTTTAGCTCATACTAAGACAAAGTAACAAGAAAGAGTGGAGAGCAGCTCTCTCTAGTCATTTACATGACTACATTTACAAGTGTATAGGACAAAAAGGACTGTTTATCAACCACACTGAGCAAAATCAATCCGATTTTGTGACAGCAAGATTGAACTGGAGCTCTTGATGCAACTTCTCTGAATCACAAGGTGAGGTAGCCTTGGTGTAGCTGGGAAGGGAAGAGTGGACTCTGCTAACACTAGCAGCCATTTTATTTCATGGGTGAAGAGGGGAGAGCGTTGCTACACCTTTCCCCTTTCTCAAACAAGAAGAAAATAAAGGATTTTGACTTGCCACCAACTCACCGGATTGGCTCAGGCTTCAAGTGGTGATTCAGACAACCAACTAGCATTCTCTCTTGAAAAGCTGGCTTCCCTGGTGCCCTCTGGATGTCAAAGTGAGCAGAGTTGCAGAGCGCGTGGACACCGCTGTCGGTCCGGCTGGAGATGTGGAACTTGATGGGAACAACAGGTTTTAGGTTCTGTGCTGCCTTCTGCAATCCAACATGAGACAGAACCATGAACAGGAAGCTCAGAGCTCTCTAGGAAACAATGCCCTCCTCCTTGCTCAATACATCGTGCCTCCTTGCTGTTTCCAGAGAAGTAATAGGGAGTTTTACTGTGAGCTGAAGAGATGGATGGAGGTGGGCTGTTGACTTCTGCTAGTACTATTTGGCTTCTCACCTTCTGTCCCAGAATCATTTTAAAGGGAACATCCAATGTGCCACATCAGCTTAAAACATACATATGAAACATATATAAAATATATAAAACATATATAAAACAAAGTGACAAATATTTGCCTCCCTGTCCTTTGCATTACTGGGCGGAAGTAAAGAGAACAGAGAATCCCTAATTTAAATCCAGACACAACCCCTGCATCTGACCGCCAAGAACTGCATTCAAGCTGCATCAGAAGCAGGTAACAGCAGCACAGTGCATGCTCTTAGCTCCAGAACTCAGATAGAAACAGCACACAGGGATGTCAGAGTGACTTTACAGCTACGAGGCCTGATGGAGCTCAGGCTGCAGCCTTTTGTTCCATTGCAGGCCAAAATGATGTCAAATACAGCAGCTTATTGCTGCTGGCAGAATTTTTTTCCCACCCACAACAGGAGCAGGGCTACAGAGGGCAACGTGCTTCCATCAGTTGCTCAGAACAGAGGAGGAGTCAGGGGACCAGATGAGAAGTAGCACAGCACTGATGTAATGCATTCATTGGTCCCACTGAGAAACAGATCAGAGAACCAAGGCACAGCTCTAATAAAACACAGCATTGGAGGAGCTGATGCTGAGCCATCCCAGCAGGTGTAAATAATCACAGGGAGGGAGAGGGATGTTAGCAGAGATAATTAGATGCTACATATATAAGGGTCTCAGATCAGTCCACGTTTAGCAAAGCCAGGATGAACTCTGGTAAGGGGCAAAGGCAAATTCTGCTTGGGATTCTAGTAACTTACTAAAGCAATGTTAAAACCACAGTAGGTCTTCTGTACAGTAGGGTTTAGAAGTAGGTTACTGCACCTGCAACATACAGTTTTTGTCTTTGTGAGGACAGGCCCTTAATGTGATTTTTTATGGTGTATGAATGAAGTATATCTGAACAACTGAAGGGAAAAAAAAAGCAGGAAACCAGCTGAATGACTGGAAATTTCCTTCTCTCTCTCTCATCTTCCCTCCCGAGTGGTGAACCCAGTAGTGGTCTTTATTACATTTCAATTTGGTACCAAGAGTCAATAAAGCTTGAATTGCTGACTCACAAATGCCTTCCAGATTCCTACAACTTGAGCAGACAGGATTCTGGGCTCTCAGAAGCATATCATTATAAAGCACAGAAAGGCAAGAAAAAATGTAACTGAGCTGCAGGGGAAGGCTTAGGAAACAGAACAGAAATGACCCTAGACTTCTCCCCTTCCTAATCCTTCTATTTGGACTTCACATATGGTTACAATTAACAACAAAAATCTTTATTTATCACCCTTAAGCAGAGAGAAGCAGACAGAAATAAAGTAAGTTTTATGCAGCAGACCACGTCTCGTGCCTTGATGCTTTGTCTTTAAGCAGAAGCCGTGTTTTAAGAGAAACAAATCTGCAAATATATATTTATATTTTGCAGCCTCCTCTCTTTCCCCAGCCTTTTGCCAGGCACAAATCAGCCAGTGTGAGCACAGCTGAGTGGAACAGAGGGAGAGAGGGCAGGAGAGAACATCGTCCTTTCCTGCTATGGAGAAGTTTGGATACTGCACTCCTGCGGATCCCCACACTGCATTCTATTTCACACCCCACCTCTGAACAAAGCTGGAGAATAGGAGCACTGAAAAGTTTAGGTTTCCTGTCTGCCAAAAGGGTTAAGCTGTTTTGGAGAGGAAGAGAGGGTCGAAGGCTCCAAGGCAAACCTGATTGCTTCCCTGCTCAAGCCACTGAATCCACACAAGTAAAGGAGCAAATGACAGGTCCACCAAAGCTGTATTTTCACAGCTGCCTTTCTGCAGCACGCTTACCTCCCAGGCACAGCTCTCTGGAGAGATATTTGTGCTGGGTATGCAAGGAGAAATGTAATCACCATCAACAACAAATCTCAGCCTGTGAATGCTGAAAGCTTCATCTGGGGGCTCTCCCCCCAGCCCAGCAGGCATGCAGCTGATAATAGAGTCCACTACCAACTGCTGCCTCCATTTAAATATTTAAATTAAATATTCCATTTAAAGCCTACCCTAATTAATCTCCTTGCAGAGAGAATTTCTGAACTGCTGAACTTCTTCATGGGCAATTCACTAATGACCCCTTCACCTATGCATATGTCCCATCTCTGCACCATCCAGATGGCCTTTGAGCCTATAGACATCTGTTACCTTCCTCCACGGGTTCCTATATGCTCTAATCCATTAATACAACCCACACTGATCTGCAAAAAAAGATGCATTATTTACATTTAGTAATTGCTTGAATGGCAACCTGCCCTTTCAGAGGAAGGAAGGGAAAAAAAAGAGCCCCTACAAGAAGCAGGCCTTTCATCCAAGGAGCTCCCAAGGCTTTACTGCTGTTAATTCTGACCCTTACACTGTTGGCTGTCATCTATGGATTCCAATGGGGGACAACTGGGACAGTTAGTTAAGCAATTTACCCATGGGTGCTCAGCTAAAAGGAGGAGATAAAGGAATCCAGGAGCTGTGTTCTCTTATGTCCTCAAAGTTCACAGGTCTCTGCTTCCTTCTTTAGGCCACACAGCATGCCAGCATTCTGCTTGGCAGATTACAAACACCGGATCCTTGACTTAACACATGCTGGAGGTGCCTCACTGACACAGATCTCACTCATTTTCATGATGTCTTTACTTCTAGAGTCACAGTTGTTCCAGACAACCATACTTCTGGAGCAGCAACCAGAATCCCTGGGTGTTTCTCTATGCTTCTAATACTCTCCCTATCAGTAAAGCAGAGGAAAGCATTACTTGCATTTAGTAGGTCTGTGCTGCTAACAGGTTTTGTTCACTAAACACTTCCATATTTTGAATCCCACTGAAATTTCCACTGTTGTGTGCCAGAGCGATATGAATCCACGCTCCAGGTTTCTCTTATTACTCACAGCCCTGTTCTCTTTTCCCTCTGTACAAATGTTGGAGAGGCAAGATGAAGAACAGGCCTGTCAGTGCACACCAGCTATGTCTGGGAAGCAGAAATTCATCCACGTATCTCCCTGAAGTCTAAATAAAAAATGCTCAAGATGCTCAGCCACAAAAGACCCCTGCAGAGCAGCTGGGAGCTACAGAAGGAACCTGTCAAGTCAATTGTAGATGGATACGTTCAAGAGAGAAATGTGCAGTAGGAGTTATTTTGGAAAGGTGTCTAATGCTCTTCCACAGCAGCTGGATTGCTTATTGGTGCTGTCATTGGAAGACACCTCCAATGGCATCAGATGCACAGACACAAGGGATTGCATTGCACTGCTGGAGATGGTGCACAATTTGCAAAGTGCTGTGTTCTAATAAATAATAATGCAGGAGCTTCTGGTTGCAACCTTGCTGACTCAGTGGGCATTATGTCAACTGAAACTAATTAAGAATCTAACTCCTTCCCAGAGAAAGAGAGAAAAGCTGTAGAGAAAACAAGGAAGAAAAAGATGAGAAAGCAGCTTCTGCTGGAAAAGAGGGTTTCTAAAGCAACCTCCCAGGCTGCTAGAATGATTATCCAAACAGGTGATGAAGTTAACAGTTCTCTGGGTCAGTTTTCCCTTTGCTCCTTGTATGGGGACTGTTGAGTCATGGCCTGAATCACTGATAGAGCACCTGAAGAAAGGACCGGGTCAGCCCTGGGAGCACAGGTGAAGGCAATTCAACGGTGTGATCAGAAGGGTTGGAGCCTGGCTGCACCTCACCTAAGCTTCATTTAAGGGCTGACTGCCATGGGGGAAGGATCTCTGGTTGGAGATCCCTCCCTTGTGGAGTTTTCCCTGCAGGCCTAGGTCTTCATAGATGGGTGAGTCCTTTTCTTTTGTAATACCATTCCATTCATGTCAGTTCCTTTGCTATTATGCTCCTGTATCGCTCTTCTGCTGCATTGATCTTTCTGATTGTAGCATTACTGTTTTGTTTGGTTTTTTTTTCTGGAGGAAAGAAGCTGTACCAAAGCTGTTTTGTGTAGCACAGAGTTTATCTGTGTTCTCCTTCTCCCTCTTTTTCTTTCATGAGGAATAATACCTGGACTTAGCACAAAGCTACAGAGCTTCATGCAGGAAGATTAGTTTTAGACAGAGTTATCTAGCACAGTAGGAAACAACATGCTCAGGAGGTGGTTCAAACCAAATATGAAAGGGATCTTAATTCTGTAGATCCTACCAGGCCTTGCATTTGGTGCCTGGTAGCACAAATAAGAGCTATTCACTTCAGCAAAAGGTGCTACATGGGATTCTCATTTTCAGGAGGGACATTTGTAAGAATTCAGTCTAGAGTGCAGAGTCCTACAGCACATACAAGTTTCTCCTTGTTGGAAGGAGCCGAGTCAGCAGTCTCAAACATCCCAATTTGGGAAAGCAAGGTCTGGAATTCTGGCTTGGACTCATCACTAGCAAGCTGGGCTTCCAAGTATTTCAAGACAGATTGTCTCCAAGAAGGAAAAGTTTTGTCTGCAAAGCTCATCCCCATCAAATACAAATTAAAAAGCTCCTTCAAATACCTGCATTTGTCACGGAGATAACACAAGTTTCTATTTCTTCCGTGCAGTTCCAAGACTCTGCTATACAGAGAACTGAGAACTACAGAACCATTTGTGTCCTCTATGATGGATGTGGTGACAAAAGGCTGCAGGCAGGCTTCCTGCTCAGCCACAGCTCTACCCTCTCACCTACAGAGCTGCATGTCCTGCTCCCAAAGCAGCTCATTACACTTCTAAGGCCACCAGCTGTTGATACATGAAGTCTACACTTCACAGGTTATTTGCTTGCCTGTAACTGCAAACAAAACAGATGTCTGAACATAGGAAGAATGGAACAAGGATCTCATTACAGATTTAATCTTGCTCTTCCCTTCACTTGCCTTCCTGGCTTTGGAAATGAGTGTTACGAAGCTGCACAGAAATGGAGGAAGGAAGATAAATTCCTACAGGCCCCAGAAGTTTCCTATTAAATCTGCTTTAAGACATCCCATGTGGTTCTAATAGATGCAGCCCTGCTCAGCAGTGCCCAGCATCAATACCACCACATGAAAGCAAAGCACATATCCCAGAACTGGCCAGCGAAATGCTGATACTGTGAAAAGACAACACCAAGCAAGTTTATCTCTTTCCTTCTCTTTGTCTTTTTTTTTTTTTTTTTCTCCTTTCTTTCCCTTTAATCACCCATCCTACCCATTCCCTTCTTAAAACAAAGTTACTTGGATAATGCAAAACAACTGCTGGGCTCACCCAAAGTCCGGCGCCTGAGGCTGAGACACTGGATGGTTCAGAGCATTTTAGATAAATGAGATAGAAAGTCCTTTGGGGCTCTTCTTTCATGATTTGCACAATATTTATACACTTTCTCCACAATGGTCTCAGGCAAGAAGCCATACAAATACATCCTGAAAACTCCTCTTCAAGCCATAATTCATCGCACTTTCCTTCTGCAAGCTGCAGACAAAGCAAGGATACTCATCCTCACTCAGTCAACACAGGCATGACTGGAAATGCCTTGGCCGTGCTCAGAGCTTTTGGGTGGCATATCTCAGCCCAATTCTTCTACCTGCCTACCAGCACCATTCCTAAAGCACTTAGACACTCAGTAAGGCATTTGTATGCTGCTGAATAGTCATGTTCTAAACAATCAGTGTAAAAATAATATTTGCTCTCTATAATATCCATAGCTAAAACAGTGTGAGCACAGAAATTTCATTTTAATGTCAATATGATTAGCAAAAACGTACCTCCAAATAATTCTGGACTCCAACCCCTGACTGCTTAGCTGAGGTTTGCATGACCCCACTGCAGAGGAAAGCAGATACAGCAGTTACTGAAACATATTAAGACTGCATTTTCCACCCAATGTCTTGACAGAGAACCCATCAGAAGTTACTTGGGGGCAATCATTGAACTGCTTGCTGCTGAGCGACCTTTTCATACAACTCACAGGGACGTGGCACTGGGAGAACAGACAAGAAAACAGCCGCAAGAAACAAAAATCATCATTTAAATGCTACTCTGTGTACCAGCCCTTCAGGTGGAGGCTGGTGGGCTGGGAAGATGAAGCAATTTGCTCTGGATGAGAGTATGCAGGTAAAGCAGTTTCAAGCCCCATCTGAAATGCCGTTTGCAGGATCCTTTATTGTGGGCACGTGGATGTGAAAGCTGCAAAGACCCAATTAGTGCTGAGCTTCTTTCCCTGCTCTGGGAGTCACAGCCGTTCACAAACAGCTCAGAAGTGCTGAGGGATGTCCTGAGGCCAAGCTTTGGCCCACTCGCAATCATGTTGAATAACTGAGGCTGGAGCCCACAAGGAAACAAACCGTACCCTGAAAAATAAGTGTGGCTTTTGGCACGTGATGGTGTTATTCTGCAGAACCCTCGTGTCCATAGGCGTATTGGGGCTGCACAAGTTCTCCCACAGTCTCTTTGTCATGTAAACAAGCACAGCCACCTATGTGGGATGCTTAAGCCTGGGGAAAGCAGTGCAATGGAGCAGCTTGGCTCTGTCTCCAGCAATGCATCCGAGCCACTCGGAACCCAGAGAGCCAATGCAGCAAATAACACCACCGGCTGTGCTGCCGTCACCAGCCTGCCCTTCTCTCTGTCCTTTCCTGCCTTTTACCCAATTTCCGTGCTTCCTGTCCTACCCAACACCACAAAGCACAGCACACGACCTGTCCCTACCCCAAACCCTTACACACACCCATTTTTACCTATTTCCTCCATGCAACCTCCCCGGGACCTAACAGCGCAGGGCCGACCTCTAACCGCACCTACCTATATTTAGTGCCCCAGTACTGAAAGAACACTAAGTATCGGGTTTGGGGAGAAACCATCTTTGCTGCGCTCCGGGCTCGGAGGCGGAGCGGGGCCGGCTTCCCCTCAGCGGCCCTCCCAGCACCGCCCGCTTCCGCTGCGCGGCCATGGCTGCGCCGTGCGTGAAGGGCCGGAGGCGAGGGGTTGCCGCAGCCGAATCCGAGCTCCGTGGTTTTCAGCTTTGGAAGGGAAGGCGACTCGCAGTCCCTGCTGCAACACCCCCGTGTCGTCGTCGGTGCTGGAGGAGCAAAGGGAAACGCGTTGATTTGATGGAAGCAGGTGGAACAGAAGCCAGCAGAGGTCACCTTGCCCATTCTGCACTGATGGGCTGAGCTGAGCCTTTCGTGTCCCTCAGAACCCTCTACCATTTTAATGTTCAATCGTGTCAGGCTGCTACATGCACACCATCCTTCCAAAGCACAGCAGACGAATCACAGAATGAGAGAATGCCCAGGGTTGGAACCCCTGCCCTCTGCAAACCCCCTGCCACACGCAGGGCCACCAACCTCCACATTTCACACCAGCCCAGGCTGCATAGGGCCCCATCCGACCTGGCCTTGAACACCTCCAAGGATGGACGGGGCATCCACAGCTCCTGTAGGCAGCTGTTCCAGCACCTTGCCACTCTCACAGCAAAGAATTTCCCCCTGATATCCAACCTAAATCTTCCCTCCCTCAGCTTAAAACCATTTCCCCTTGTCCTGCTGTTATCTACCCTTTCAAAGAGTTGACTCTTCTGCTTATAGGCTCCCTTTAGGTACCGAAAGGTTACAAATGGAGCAGGGCTGAGTCCTCAGACAGAGCCAGAGCCTGGCCTGGAGGCAGATCATAGCAGCAGTCAGTGTGGACGTGGCATGGAGCATCTTCCTCCCCCTGGGTTTGTCCTGGATCTGTCTGTGGCTGAAGTGATGCCTTGATATGCTGTGACATTGAGGCACCCCTGACCCTGGTGTTGCTGTGAGCTGTGGGTTTAGTTCAGGTGCTTGTTAAACAGAATGCGTTTGGGTAGAGATTTACATCAGGGCACTTCTCAGTCTTAAATTCAGCGATTGGTGTGGTCTGTGCAGTTCTGCCTGTGGTGAGTGATGGGTGGAGGATCCAAACGAAGCTCGCTGTAATTAGTCTCATTTATCTGTGCCACATCACACTGCTGTGTCCGGTAGCAAATGTGATCTGTTCCCATGGTCCTGCAGGCCCAGATGTCCTTCCTTGAGTGATTACATTGGCTTCGGTGGAGTTACTGCAGATTTACTGCATGGCTGATGGCAGCAGCAAATCCACTGTGTACGGAAAATTAAAAACTAGATTAAGCAGTAACAGGATTGATGCCAATCCTTTTGACACTAATGGCAGGGAATTGCTGCGTGCCTCCTCTACAGGTCGATTTTTTTTCTCAGCTGTGGCCACAACCCTGTGGCAACCCGAAGGTTGGGCTGTGCTTCCAGCGGCTGAATTAATGCAGAGACCTGAGGGGATGGTCAGGATCTGAATCATAGAATCACAGGATGGCTGGGGTTGGAAGTGGGCCTTAAAGCCCACAATCCCAACCCCTGCTGTGGGCTGGATGCTGGAATGGACTCCATCCAGCCTGGGCTTGGCATCATCAGAGATGAGGCACTACGCCGCTCTGGGCAGCAGTGCCAGGGCTTCACTGCTCTCTCAGTAAACAATTTCTTCCTAACACCCAACCTCAATCTCTCCTCTTTCAGTTTAAAGCCATTCCCTATCTCTATCAAACCAGGCACTCAGGTGCTTTATCAAGCTCCCGTCGACTAACTAGAAGGCTCAGTGAGGTCTCAAAGCCTTGTGCGGGAAAACCGGGGGCACTCTCATTCTGTAATAACTGGGAGCATCTGCAGTTGAGCTCCCCGCCCCGTGCCTCCAGCCGGTCCCTGCCCTGCCCTGCCCGCCGGGCGGTGGTGGGGGCGGGCGCAGCGCCGTGCCGTGCCGTGCCGCGCCTCGCTGCGCCGCCGCCGGGCGCTGCGCTTCCTCCGCTGAGCTCCGAACCGCGAGGATGACGGTGGAGTTTGAGGAGTGCATCAAGGATTCGCCCCGGTTCCGGTAAGCGCCGAGACCCCCGCTCTGATGACGATAATAATGATAATAATAATAATAACAAGCGGAAGGGCTGCGTGGATAGGGGGAGAGGTGGGAAGCAGCTACCGGCCCCGTGCGGTGGGGATGCGGTGCCGGCAGCCCGCTCGGGACGTTCGGCTCAAGGCTCATCCCAACCCGCTCCATAGCTCGGGGGAACCGGCATCGTCTCCCGGAGCTGCTGGATGTGCTGCCACCGCTCCCGAAGCCCGTGCTCAGAAACACGGCGTTTTCCACTCGCTGGCATCGCCGTCTCTCGGAGGGTGGATTCTTTTTTTATTTAGCAGTCTTGAAGGAATCCGAGCTCTGATAACAAAGACTCCGTCGTGGCTGTGCTGCTGTTGAAATCGGGCCTCTGAGCGCTGCTCGGGGCTGGTGAGGAATCCCTGAGCCCGGTGCGGATGCTCGTTGTGCCTGCAGCACCACGGCTGGGTGTCTGGGTGCTGTGGGATGTCCTGGTGCTCGAATGGAAAGATTGGAGCTTCCACAGCTGGCGATTGCCTGCTGCATTCACACTGTGCTTGGATGGGGACAGAAGGAAGCAGACAATAGCCTGCAGGAGCAAGTTGGTTGGAAATACATGCAGGGGGACGGTTACCAAGGGGCTCTCCATCCCAGCAGGCATTTCTCATTGCTCCTCAAACGTTTTTGTTTATTAAATGGGATACTTTGCATTTTCCCCCACGTGTGTTTGGAAGGATTTTCTCAGAATAGAAGCTTGGTACAAAAGGCTGCAGTGGTCTGCTGTTGTGGCTGCTCTGAACGGTTGTCATGCTGTGTATGCATTCATGTGGCTGCGTACGGCTGCAGGTAACATAAAAACTCCAGGCAAGTGCACCCTGTGGGTGCTGCAGCCCAGGTCTGGGGATCCCCAGGGCTGTGGGGAGGGTCCTCCTCCACACCTTGCAGCTGTAATTGCATGGTGAGATCCTGCTCTTACTTGTTTCGGGGCTGTTTCTGGCTTGGCATGGGCAGCACCCCGTGAGACGATGGGCTGCTCCTATTTGCGTGCCTGGAATCACAGGAGTTTTTTATCAGGAAAAGTTAGATATGCAGGCAGGCGTGCAGAAAGTACGAACCTCCGTCCTCAAACCTCTGCTCACTCAGTATCAATTAGAATGTATTCTTTATTTTTTTTTAACTGTCATTTTATCCTGTGGTGCTGCCGAGCATGTGAACTGCTTGGTGGCATCCATCCAGAGCAGTGACCTCACTGTCCAGATGTCTCCTTCCACATGGCAGTGACCCTTTTTCCCTCGGTGACGTCAAGATTGATGGAGATGTTTATTTATTTATTTTGCCTTTGGTGTGCGTGGGCTCCGGGCCAAGTTTCTTAGTATGCAGGCAGCATCATTCTGCTCTGTCTGCTCCATCTGTAAAAACAAAACAGCCCTCAGAGTACTGTGCTGGACCTTTATCAAAAGCCAGTTATTTAAGCAGGGAATTATGAACTATTTCCCCAATGGCTAGACGCAGTCTAGAGCAAGAGATTGGGTGAGAGAAGTGAGCCTGGATGATTCAGGAAGGCCGATATGTATTAATGTAAGGGGAATTTGTGACCAAGTACTGACATCTGCAGGGTTGTGGTGAAACCAAAACTGAATGCTGTGTCATAAGTTCAGCGGTGAGCCCTGGAGAGAATCAAATCGTTTTCTGTCTGATATACAGAGGGAGAAAAACCAAAACCAATTGCATGAAGGCACACTGTATCAGGCATCCCATAATAAGGCAACCAAACTAGTCTACTTGAGCAATCAAATCCAATTACATGCCAAAGCACCCCGAATCAATACTCAATATGCAGTCAATCCGTCATTGCTTCCTGTTTCATAGGGCACAGTTGCTGACCCTTTTTCCCCTCCTTTTGGTTTTCGTTACTTAAATACATTCAGATCTCTTGACTGGCAGATAAACCTTATTTCTGTTGGGCATCTTGTAGAGACACGTATCTTCTGCCTCAGTAAACAAATGCTAATTACCTTGTAAGACCAGTTTTAGCACATTTGAATGCAACCCCAGTGGATGTTGTGGCTTTCATCTCCCTGCCTGCCATGGGAGCCTCCTGTTGGGCCAGCAGCAGCCTGGGAAATCTAGGAACACATTTCTGCTGGTCCTACTCAGAGATCCAGGTGCACTTGGCACCAAGGGACAGATGGGGACATCATCAACTATCGTGGGTGTGAGGAGCAATCAGGAGGACAAGGGCAGAGGAGGAACAAGTTGCTGGGGCTGGTTGCAGAACTTTGTGAGCCATAGAAAACCCCAAATGCCTCTGTGGTAAATCCCACGAGGGAGGGAAATAAATGGTTATTTCCTTAACTAGCACTGCTGTTGCTCTTAACTAACCTCGTTAATCAGGCTGTGAGCTCAGGGTTCCCAGCAGGCTGAGCCACCTCTGATGCTTGTAGCTCTCATGGCCAGGGAAACTCAGGCATGGAATTGCAGCTCCAAGAGAGATGCAAGAAAGCAGTTGTCATCTGCCAGAGGAAAAGGATGTGAAAAGACAAGGACGTTCAGGAAGTGTTTTCTCCTTCAACTGTAAAGTGTTTCAAACAGAATGGGAAGGAATAAAAACACTCAACTCCAACTGATCTTGCTAAGTCTGGTAACAGATTGAATCGGACAAGTTTAAAGCGCGCATAACAACTTCAGATGAGTCCATGCTGCTTGAGCATGTGTTAGAGAGAAAGATCTTCAGTGCCTTGTGTGACTTTTGGCTATTGTCACCCGGCTCTGCGCACCGCTGCCATGCAGTCTGATGTAAGCCAAACTTATTAGCTGAAGTTACTTGAAAGCAAAAGTAAATTATACCCAGAATGGCAAAAGCAAAACTCTTCATTTGTTTAACTAAATCCATTAAACAAAAAGAGCATATGCATTGATTTGAAGCTTACACAAGGCTTCTTATGTAAGCAAGATCCTTGCTACTGATGGTGGTTGAGGGAAGATA